ACATCCCTCTGACTTTAGCCCTATAGCCGCCAAGTTCAGCAAATATACAAAATGTAATATGAGGGAACATCCCAAGACAATGCCGTTAGGCCTAAAATTGTGAATATTATTTTAGGAAAATGAACTTATACGAGGCCAACAAAGCAAAGAACAATCTCTTTCAATGCAAAAGTAGTTGGAGCATGGTAGAACAGATTGGATGGTATTCTCCACTTTGACTCATTAAGGATACCACAGCAAATACCCGAACACTTCCTTCTACCTTGAGGGAATAGTAATAAATCGAATATCCAAAGTAAAAAGTGAAAAGGTGTGGAAAGTGCTGAAAAACGCGCTCATACAAAACTCATACAAGATTGCAATCAAAAGTAGCAGTGGACCAACAAATATCCTGTCTAGTAACATCGAAACTCTCAAACAATTAAGAAAATCCCATGGACAACGACAAAAGCAAGACCAATGAAGAGAAGACCTCAGCAACACAACTAGGAGGAGATCCTCCGCACTCTCTAATTGCACTACATCAGATAAAGAAGAAAACACGAAAGGTATGGAGATTTGTAAATCAAAAAATCCCATTAGGAAATAGATACAGCGTTTACGTGTGATCTTGATAGTGATCAAAACATAGAATTCCATGATAACGAAACAAACGAAAAACATACTAACACAAACTACGCCACACAAAATCCAACTAAGCTAATCTCACCTCCCACGCGTATCCCAATCTACATACACAGAAATATCAATCACACAAAACTTCTTGATGCCCTGAAAATGAAATACAATAATAACTTTCAAGCTAAATTCATCTGTAGCAAACTTAAAGTAATGTTCGCCAGACAAACAGACTTCATGGATTTTAAAAATAGATGTCCGCAGAAAAATGCTTTTACGACAAATTTAGAGAAAATCTTTACAGTGGTCCTAAAAGGGTTCTTCCTGGAGCAAGAATATGCGAGAATCTAAAAAACCAAGGCCTAAATCCTATACTTTGCTCAGAATTCCCTACACATACCAGACACCTAATTTACAAATTAACATTCGCCCTAATTACCACACTGACACAACTAAATCACGTCAGATATTACGAAAACATTAAACTTCACTGGGAAAAATACGAGGCTTAAAATCCACGATTCAGTGTTTCCGGTGTCAGGCACATATTCGTAAAATACAAAAAAAGACCAGTTGGAATAAAATGCGCAGGTCAGCACAACACAAGAAGCTGCACTAAAACGCTAGTGACACCTTCAACTTGCGCAAAAACTGCAAAGACAATCACCCGGCGAATTATTCAAAATGTCCAGCTCTGACAGCCTATCTCAACAAAAGAAATACCTGCAAAGAAGTAAAAATCCAAACAACACAAAAATACCAACTTCCCGCTCAAATAATTCTACACCAATTTCCATTCCTCAGAGAAACGCTCGCTGCCTATACACTACAGACAAACTCCACAACTGATAAAGACAAATTCTCTCACCAGACATGGACTCACACACGCGACCCAAGCATCTGCTCAAATTCTACAAACTGAAAAATACACAAGATCTTA